ACGCCCAGGGTCACATAGCTAGTAAGTGACGGTGCTCGGGTTCTAACCTTGTCTAACGTCTAGTCTCCACTGCCTCTTACAAATACAGACGGCAGAACGAAGTGAGCGCTGTTATGCAGCATCTACTAGATGGCGTGAAGAAGGAATGTATAAAAGAGATAGCTGTTTGTTATTTACAAAATAAAATTAAAACACAAAGATGTTAAATAGCAAAGAAAGCCCCAGATCCCTGCTGGTATCACTTACCCTCCTATCTGACCACTCCATTAGGACATTTCTTCTCTCAGCCACTTTAATTTCTCACACTACGAAATAAGAAGCCTCTTTGCTTCTGTTCTCCAGAGAGACAAAGAAGTTGGAAGAAATAGATTTCCACCCTACCATTGTGGAAAAGAGAAGAGAGCATCAGATTTCTTTGACAGAGGTGGAGGCAGGCTTCTGTCTCCCCTACGCACACCGAGGCAGTGGGTGAGGTGGGAGCGGGTAGGCTGCTGCTTCTTCAGGATTACGTAATGATGAAACAACGACCAGCTTTGTCTTGCTGAGTAGCTGCTGGAAAGGTAGGTCAGGGCCTCCTTTGAGGGTCACTGGAGTTGACTGATAGGGCTGCTATCTTCTGTCCCCTGTGAAATTACCGAAATGTAGCTTTTGGCTTAAGGGCGATAGTTGGAAGGAGGGACCAATGACTCGAACCAGTGTTGCTTTCTGAATGATTGTTATCAGGTCCACTCTGACCACCCTCCCAACCTTTAGCAAGTGCCTGCTATATCTATATGTAGGGCTTATACAGGTGCCAAGTGTTGAGGATGCATAAAAGAGTCAGAGCTAGTTCAGCCTTCCAGTTCCCACAGCCATAGCTTTCACATTCTTTTGATTGTGAAGTATAATAAGAAAAACATTTAAATTGTATGTATGTGCAACTGGGTTGTGCTGTTTTACCTTGCTATATGCAATAAACTCTGATGTAGATTGTTCTATTCTTTTTTATTTAATAAAAAATGCAGATTACAATCCATTGAGTTGATATCTTGATCCATAAATGTGCAATGCATCAAGCTGTGCAGTTAGAAAAACACTAATTTGAAGAAAAACAGTCCGGAGAAAGATACCTAATGTGTACAATTACAAAATGATGTAAAAGTGCAGCCACAGAAGCATGTATGGAAAGTACAGAGCCCTGAAGGAGAAACATGGGGCCTGGACAACCTTTTCCTATGCTCTTTCGATTACCCGCCGCGAGGGCACACACAGCACATCCTGTGGGAATAACTGCCAGCTCTATTCCCAGCGCAACTCCCATAGGCTTCTCCATCTACCCTCATCCTCATCCAGACACTGTCTCTGGGTGGCCCTGAGGCAGTCACGATTGTCTGTGAAACTGTCTATGAGTATAGAGATGGAGCAGGGACAGACTAGCAGCTCAGCCTCCTTTCCAGCTCTAGAACTCTCCCATTCATGTAACAGTACCCTAAGCATGGGAGGAGTCCACGTGGACTTTATTTCATCAGGCTCTGACTTTTTGTTTCTTTCTAGCTCAGCACTGGTGGGTCTTGAGTGAGAACAGAGTGGGGGGTAGGGGGAGAGGGAGCAGATTCCAGAGAATTCCACTATTGCAAAGAGCAGGCCAACAGTGGCAGGAAAGAAATGAGGGATAACTGCTGGCTGTTGATACTGAATGAAGGCACAATGTGTAGAGGCAATTCAACTGTAGTGCACTAATTATTCTCCCAGGGCCATGGCCCAGAAAAGCAGATGACCCCTGAGAGATCTCATTCACACTGGCTGTCTCAATGACCAGCCTATCATAGATTTTATCCATGAGCTACATAGATCAGCCTATCATAGATTTTATCCATGAGCTACAGAAAGGGAAAGCATTCGTGCTAATGAGGAATCATGAAGAAAACCAGAACTAATCACATATGACTATATGTATTGTAACTTCCAAGAAAATGCTTGGCAGCATCTTGGAGCCAAGAAATGTGGTTAAGAGTGTGGGCTTTGGAATAAAAGTGACTTGGGGACAAATCCTGGTGTCACCATTTCCTGTGTGCTCTTTGGAAAACACCTAAGAATAGACGAGAATAAGACCCAATCCCAGACTTCTGGAAGTTCATATTTACTGCTTAACCTTTCTGGGCCTCTGTTTCCTCATTGGTAAAACAGGGATAATGATAAGACCTACCTCCTAAGATTGTCATGAGGATTAGTATGAGGATAGATAGAACAGCTTGGCTGGCCCCGATCACAGGTTATCTGTATGTTTAACTTTGGATAGTGAGAAGCAATGGAAAACAGGACAGGGGAGGTTGGTAAAATATCACAACCTTGTTAGACTCCATCTTCACCCTGCATCCTCCTCTCTCCAAGGGCCTTAAAGCAGAATGGAAGATTCCCTCTGTTCCATCTCAAAGAAGTAGCACTTTGGGAAATTACAGTTAGCTCCTCAAAGCCCTACTTGTTCTTCCTCTTTACGTTTATCCCACTTTTGTTCAAACTCTGAACACATGGGCCAGAGGGAGCTTTTTTTGCCTGGCTTTAAGGAATGGTAAGAAGAGCTAGCCACCGAGGTTCATTTAGAAACAAAACAAAATGACTCTCCCTTGGGGTGCTGGGTGGGGAGGGCTCTGTTGCCAGCCCACTGAGACTCTCCGCACCCCCTGGAGACAGATGAGATGCTTGGTCAACTGAGAGCAGAGGCCCCCCAGCTGAAGGCCCAGGAATGGATCTGACAGCTGCCAGGAGAACACAATTACTTTTTCTTAAATCGATTCCTCGGAAACTGTCCTTTGAGATCAGTCTCAAACTGTTGGAGCATTTTTCTATGAGCCCTAACTCTGGGGGTTTGTTTGTTTGTTTTGTTTTATTGGTAGCTGGCTGGTATAGGGATCCGAACCCTTGGTGTTGTCAGCACCATGCTCTAGCCAACTGAGCTAACCAGCTAGCTCTGGGGTTTGAATGGAGAGAAACCCAGCAGCACGGTGCTAGCCCAGGATGGCTCCAAACTTCTTCCTAGGCAAAGCTTGCTTTAAAGAGTGGAGCTTCTGATTGCAGGAAGAGGTGGAGAAAACACTCTGCAGAGTTTAAAAGGGTGATTTAAAAATGTGACATATTCCCGTTTCATGAAAAAGTGACAGACAATGTTAAGTGGATAGTCCTCCTACAATCTGCCTATATTCTGTAATATATTCTATATTCTCTTCTGGAAGAACATGCAGAGTCCATCAGCATATTAAAGGCTCTGTGATGTTGGACTATAAAGAAGCAATATTTCCCAAACATATTTGATCACGGAACCCTTGTGCTGAGAAACAGTTCTTTCTGTGGAACATCGCTGGACAAAGGGCAGAGTCAGGGCCTCCTCTCATCCACACTGCACCTCTCAGAGCACATGCAGGGTGGGGTCGAGCCTTCATTTGCACTCTCAGCCAGACCCCCTTGTGCAGGGCCTGGCTGCATGACAATTGCAGCAGTCCCTCTGGAAAGGACACAGGCAATTGGGCGATCCTGGGGCATTACTGACCAGGACCTAAAAGTCCACAGTTGTTATTTTATTCTCTTTTCAGGGGTAAGTCCAAGCTTGTGACTGAAGGAAGACAGTGCTCATGTAGAGAAGATTGGACACTATGTCTAACCTGGAAATATCTGCACAAACAAGCCACCATGAAGGGCTACTCAGGACAGGAGCCACTGGACAACTCTGAGCTCACTTACATTCAACTCAGGAGTACCTGAACACTTTTAAGAAGCTGATCTGCATTGCTTTATTAAGGAAAAAAAAAAAAAAGAAGAAGAAAAATGCCCCAGCCAGGCGTTGCAACGAAATTGATGATAATTGGGAACAGCAGGAAGGAGACCTGCGTTTCTGCTTCAGCTGGTTACTGCTTGGTTTAAAGTCTGATTGTCTGGCGTCCATCTTCTGGCAAAGAAGAAGAAAAATGCCCCAGCCAGGCGTTGCAACGAAATTGATGATAATTGGGAACAGCAGGAAGGAGACCTGCATTTCTGCTTCAGCTGGTTACTGCTTGGTTTAAAGTCTGATTGTCTGGCGTCCATCTTCTGGCTTTTGGAGTGGACCAGTTTTTGCTGAAATATGCATTTATTGAACTCTGAAAGGCCAGATCTTCTATGTAGATTAATTCATGATTTCAAAGATGCTTTGAAGCTGGCAAAACATTCTGTTATTTACAAGAGTTATTACAACTGAAATCCTGGCATAGACTGGGAGGTCAGTTTATAATCTTGTTTAGATCCTTTTAAATTTAGAAACTTTGCAGTGGGTTAAATATAGATCACATTTGTGTACTTTTTCCTCCTTTCATTCCCACTTCAAGGGCTGTCCAGTAGTTCTGACCTATGCCAGACATTAGCCAGAGAAATTCTGGCACTTGTTACATGGGCATCTGCTGGACCAAAACAAAAGTGATGCTACTCACAGGACCGTGCGGAGTTGCTCATCATCCTACATATTATCTTCCACATTTAAGAGCAAAGGTCTTTCACTAAGACTGGTGAATAGTTTCATGTTAAGTGAAAACATAGACACGAGGAGAAAAGGTTTTGGTAATGCTATCCGGGAGAGCTTATGTCCTCCAACTTACACTGCACATGTTGATTAGAGAAGATCATAGAGGTCGGGTCATAAGAAGCTGTACGAGGCTGGAAGTCAGACTTCTTATAACCAAAAGGTAAATGAATATTGCCCCAGATTTTAGAAGAGCCAAAATATTGAATGTTGGGAGAGCGTATGTTCTCCAACTTATACTGCACATGTTGATTAGAGAAGATCATAGAGCTCAGGTCATAAGAAGCTGTACGAGGCTGGAAGTCAGACTGCTTATAACCAAAAGGTAAATGAATATTGCCCCAGATTTTAGAAGAGCCAAAATATTGAATGTTATCTGCGTAGTACTGGCCAGAGTAAATGAGGTGCCAGCATTTTCATGCCCAGTAAAGAGAATGTTATTACACTCAGGATTACCTCTTCATGGGTACTTTACCTTCATGAACATGCTAAATCCAGTTTTAAGGAGATCAGCAAGGCCTGAAGACATGTGTTCAATATCAACAGGATCTGGCCTCTCGGGATTAAATATTTCCTCCACAATCTGCTTCAACAATGGTTTATAAGATGCCTGGAAAGACAAAATATTGTGCTGTAAGTAAAAGGATTTGTTTGGTTTGTCTGGAGAGAGAACAGCTTTTTCTGTATTAAAAGAAGCAAAACAAGTTTATTTTGATACTGAGCAATAGCTGTGATGTGTGTGTGTGTGTGTGTGTGTGAAAACACAATATAACAACACTGGTTTTTTAGATAAACTTTCACCCCAAGGCTCTAGCACTATTTTCTGCTTCTCAAACCTCCTTCTACAAGCAAATATCTCTTACCAGAGCTATAATCATTGTATGACTAATTTTTCTATCTAGATTTCAAGTGACAATTTTAGGTATGAAGTACACTGGAAAGCAAAATACTATCATTGATATAGACATGAAGATAGTCTCCAGCTTTTCCTAAGCATTCTTAGAATTATGTTCCCCCTGTTAGGACCTCAAATGTTTACTTACAATGTGCTGTCAATATCCACGCCAGACATGAAGATAGTCTCCAGCTTTTCCTAAGCATTCTTAAAATTATGTTCCCCCTGTTAGGACCTCAAATGTTTACTTACAATGTGCTGTCAATATCCACGCCTAAAGCAATCCCTCCTTCCCCAGCAGAGCTCAACTCCAAGTATGAGTTTCCCAGAAAAAGAAGCTAAGATAACCAAAAAGAATCTGACCGAGGTCAGAGCAGAAAAGAGGCTGCACGACACTATAGGAATTTCAGCAGAATTAGGGCGATGTTAGTTTGCAACAAGTCCTACAGTTTGATGAATGGTGCTAAATGCTTTCCTTTTCTGTGACCTGAATAAGCCATCCACGTTTCGGTTGTGTTTGGAGGCAGCTGCCTCTCTGACCACTGTGTTGTCTGAGCTTGTTTCTCCCATCTCTTCCCCTGGTTCTTCTGCTACCAATTCTTCCTTTGTCTTCCTTTCCCATTAGCAGGTCCACCTTCTTTCCTCCCAATCCTGTTGCTGCCTCTGCTGCTCCAGTCACACATTGCACTGAGTCTGCGGCATGAAGGGCAAGAGAAGAAGGAATGTCTCCCCTCAACCCATCCCCTGATCTATTATAGCCTTGGAAAAGCCAGATTCTGATAATGCACTGTTGAGCTGTATCCTCTCTTGAACTCCATTTCTCTCTGTCTTGGCCAAATATGTGACTTGCCTGTAGCAATTGTCAAGGATATTTAGTGTACTGACTTCATTCCTGGCTTCATATTGCTTTTCTTACAGTCATTTTTTACTATTATTTTTCCTTGATTCCAATTTTCTTATTTACAATATCATAGAAATAAAGCAGGGTACAAACCATCAAACTCGTAAATACACATTCAGCAGGAATCTAGCTGGGATCCTTCTCAGGGATAAGATGCAGAGAGAACTAGCATCTGTTCAGTCAGTTGAGGATTCCACCCCTTTTATGTTTACTGGTCATACAGACCAGTGTGTGTCCAGAGATCCCATGCTTAAATGATCAGGAAGGGCAAAGCATTGAATAGCAACACTAATAAGATGGGAATTTTTCAAAGTATGGATTAACCTTGCTCATAATAAGAGAAATTCAAATTAAAGCTATACCAGGAGAGATTTTGTTTTAACTTATCAGACTGGTAAAAATCCAAAAGTTTGAAAACACACTCTTTTGATGAGGCCACGGAGGAACAGGCACTCTCCTACATTGCTGGTGGGAAGGTAAATTGTTACAATCAATGCAGAGAGCAATCTGGCAATACCTATCAAAATTACAAGTGCATTTGACCTGGCAGTTCTACTTCTAGGAATTTATTCCTTGGATATGCTCATGTATGCAAATGAGATCCATAAAAAGCTCTTTATTGTTTATAATAACAAAATATTAGAAACCACCTAAGTGCCTATTGATTGGGAGCTGTATTCTACAAATACTCTTCCCTGAGTAAATTGTCTTGAGAGTTCTTCTTTCATCTTAGCCTTTCTGGACATTTACTCTCTTAAACTTTAATCTCTTTAAAGCATATCCCCAAGGAGATGTCCTTTGGTCAATACTTTGCTACCTTATCCGTATTATCATCAAATATTAATTGACTTCTTCCTTAGTAACAGACTCAAGTTTTCAGCCAGGCACATTATCAACTGGCTAAAAAGGCTTGCACCCTTCCTTGCAGCTGGGTGTGGCCATGTAAATAAATTCTGGGCAATGAAATGTAAGTAGAAGGGTAATGTGGAACTTTCAGACGTCTCCTTAAAATGGAAAGAAATGCTTTTTCTCCTCATTTTCTCTTCTGCTACCTGGAATGTGGAAGTGATGCCTGGAGCTCCAGCAGCCATATTGGAAAACAGGGCCATTTCTTTTCTCTTTCTTTCTTTTTTCTTCAAATGTGAAAGGATTTATGGGGGAAATACTTGTGAGAGAAACTGGGGAGGAAGACAGAAAAGGCTGGACAAGCCATCAGACTGTGTTCAAGTTTGAACTCCAGTGACAGATAGAGGGAAGGAAGGTTGGCTGGAATCACCCTAGATACAGTGCCATCTTCAGAAAGTTCAGTAAAGGTGTCAAGGAGCCCTGGAACCCAAATCAGCCTTCAGAAGAAGTATGGTCTTCCCTTAGTTTCTCTGATGTTCTCAATCATTGGCTGGAAGAAGCTTGTGGGAAGCATGGTCTCAGGGCAAACATGACAATAGGTTTCAGGCTGGAACAGCTTGGTCCATCGGTCAGTTTTGCTTCCTCCAGCTGAGAGTCTGGGATGTGCATTATCATGACTGCCATAGTGATAATAACCACCCATGCGGTAGGAGGCCCATCACACGGTGCAGCTGCAAATTCCTCAGTAGATGGTGGTGGAACTCTGTAAAGGTTTTCTTTTAATGTGTTCAGTTTTCTCAGTGAAGTAGGAAGCAGGGGCATCTGCCTTGGCAACGTCTCCTCTGCCTTCCTCCTCTGCTGCATCTCTGGCCAGGGCATTTCTTAGAGACGGTGGAGTAGAGAGCTGAAGAAATCCTGGACAGTGATGACTTTTGGAACCTCCGTAACCGTAACATGAACAGGCTAAATAAGGACCTACTTTACATGACAATATAGAACCTTCTATGTTTAAACAACTATTTTCAGATCTCTGTTATTTGCAACTGAATAAAATTTTGATACAAAGCATTTAGGGAATATAAAGATATGAAAGTCTATTCCTTCCTTCCAAGAGATTACAGTTATTGATTTTATTAGCCTATATTAAAGGCTGGTTATATGAAATAACTTTAACCAAAATCACAGAGAAATATACACAGTCCATCATATTTAAGAGAGAAGAAAATATACCCTTCAACCCACAAAAAATAGAAAAGTGTGTTGCTCTCCATAGGATGTACCTTCTACAAGAAGGGAGAGTAGTGATTCTGAAAAGAGCTCAGACACAGGACAAGGTGGCTCTATAATCAAGCTAAAACACTGTACTCTGCACCTCTCTAGTGCAAGGCACAGTGTACCCAGGGTGATAGGACTGTTCTCAGGACTCCAGAGGCACCACTGTAGACTGGGGAAAAAGGGGAAAGAAGGAGGTATGAAGGGATTTGAGAAAATAGAGATGCTGGGATATCTCTCTCCCTTGCTCTACTTTTGGTTAAGCTTTGAGGAAAGAAGCATCCAGAAGAAAATGCCCACTGAGCTGCGTTCTCTTTGAGGGGTGCTATGCCCTTAATGCGTTCATTCTTGGGACTTTGTGATTACTGTGTGTTATTGGGAAAATTGGAAATATTTTTATGTTTTTAAAGGTATGTAGGTGAACATTTATTTAGAATGAGAAAAGAAAACTCAATTTAAAATACTGAGAAGCAACAGATAGCAAACACATCACATAATTCAGAAAAAGAATATAAATGTTTTTAACTGCCTGACCTCTATAATAATCATTTCTAACATTTTTTGTTGCATTCTCTCTGATTATTTTTCCATGTAATAACAATTTTAAAACAACATTTTGTATGGAGATGTGAGTTATTAGGCTATCATCTCTCAATTCCAACCCCCTCCCTTCTAGACGTGGTTCTGTGATGCTGGGCTGAGACTCTGCAAGCCACACGTGTGCTTTGCCAGCTAGGTCTGTTAGACTCTGCCAACAGGGGGCACTGCAGGGAGACTGGAAGGTGGGAGAGCAAGTAGGAACTTGTAGCTGCCCCTCCACTGGACTTTTAAGTCATAGGACCCAATAAATTACCTTTCTTGTTTAAACCATTTGGCATTTTTTTCTTTTTCTATTTTTACTTGTAACCAAAAGCATAGTAAATGATATAAGTATTATTAATTTAAAGAGAAGCTGATAGGTTTTCCCACTTAAATGTTATGGAGGAAAAAGCCCTCTAAATTCTCTGTTAAGACAAGTAAGTACAGCACAAGTGAATAACATTGTGCATTTAAAGAGCACGATTTGGGACTTTCTCAGATAAAAAGCAGTACTTGGGGCCGAGCCCGTGGCGCCCTGGGGAGAGTGCGGCGCTGGGAGCGCAGCAGCGCTCCCGCCATGGGTTCGGATCCTATATAGGGATGACCGGTGCGCTCACAGCGCTCACTGGCTGAGCGCGGTGCGGCCGGTCTCA